CAGGGAGTCCGTTATCACATGAACCTCAGAATCCTTCCAGACTTCGGGTTCCCACAGTTCACAGGATTCGTCTTCGTCACTCTCTTAGGGTCTAGGGTTCAGATCGTGGCCCCACGCTGAGTAATCCGGACACATTATGTAACTGAGCTGGCACTCCGCTCTTGGCGGGCGGGGCGGGTAGTGACTGGGCTGGCCTCGGGCCGGCTACAGCGCCGGGATGCCGGCACAGCGCCCTGTGGGCCCGTCCCGGCACAGCTCCCCCGGGCCACGCACCCCGTGAGCCCGGGACGCTCCCCGGGTCTGGCCGAGCCTCGGGCCACGCGAGGCCGGAGCCCCGGGGCCGTGTACGAGCTCGTCACGACCGGGGTTCAGCACCGACGCCTCCACCTAAGCCGCCGCCGCTTACGTCTGCGCCTGCGTGCAGCTCACGCTCACTGCGCCTGCGCACATGCAGCAGTCTGGAAAGTGTCGTCAAGGAAAATCCCCAGCTCCTGGGTAAACAAGTTGCCGCGTGAGGCCGCCGGCACGTGTCCTCTACAGCTCCGAAACCTTTCAGCCTATGAAAAGGTCGCGAGCGCCAGACTGGCACTTACGTCATGCACCCCTACAGCCAATAGGGGTTTCGGTGGTGGATGGGGGCGTGGCTTCCGGCCAGCCGACCAATGAGCGCGCGGGGGTGGCCCCTCCCGCACGTGGAGGGCTCACTGCCGGTTGGCACGCTAACCTGTGAGAAGATGACGGCGGTCCGAGGCGCCAATGGCGGCCGAGCGGGGGCCGAGCGGGCGGCACGCGGCGCGGGGCATGGGTCGGTGCCCGGCAGCCAATGAGCGGAGGGGGCGTGGCCGCCCGGCCGGTGGGCGGAGCGGGAGGAGCCGGTGGAGTCGCTAGGGTCCGTCCCCGCGTGAAGAAATTGGGGTTTGTGCGTGCTGGCGGAGCGGTGAGTGCCCGGGGGTGGGGAGACAGGAAGGCTTTTCCGGGATGGTGTGCCGAGCTGGGGGAGGGGTGAAGACGGGGCGCCGGCGTCCACCTGGAGGGCTGTCATGCGATCCTTCGCCGTCTCGGCGTGCCTGGACGCTCGGGAGGGCTCCACGCTGCCCCGGCCAGACGCTGGCCACAGGAGCCCCGCGGGCTGGCAGGTGCGGGCCTGGGAAGAGGCGGGACACTCACCCGCAGAGCGTGCGCAAGGGTTGGCATGGTGATACTGGGGCGACGAGCCAGTCTCATTAAGGCTCTTGGCTGTCTTTGCTTGGGAACGCAGGGTAGGGAATGTTGTGAGGAGGAAAGAGGTGCTATGGGTGCAGGCCGGCGGCGTGCCTGTCCTCCCCGAGCCCCCGGAGGTGGGGAAGCACGAGGAAGGTGCTTTCCTGTCACCAAGCGGGCCTGTGTAGAAACGACCAGGGTATGGTGGAAGTGGGGTTCCCAGGAAATCTAGGGGTCCTGCGGGGGGCTGATAGCTGCTAGGGTGATCCCAAGGACTCAGTGACCACAGGAAAATGGGACGGCTGGGATGAGATGCGTGTGGGGGTGTGCACACAGAATGTCTCAAGACCAGGCCCAGGGGAGAGGAAGGGTTGGATGGAGTGTGTGTTCCAGGCACCAAACTTAGAACCGCTGGGTATTTGAGAGTCTCCGGTTGGCTAGGGCTCGCCTGCAGTTTAGAGGTTGGATCAGACCTCACGGAAGGATAACAGGTACTAGCGTTCAGATTGGGCCCCTGCACTGACCACTCACTCCACCTGCTAACATAGCAGGCTCGGTGTGGCATGAGGCAGCCACTCAAGGCACGGGAAATGATTTCTCAGCTTTGGGGGTAGCCAAACCTCTCCATCTTTCAGGGTTGTTTTAAGAATTAAATCAGACAGTGTCGAGTGCTTAGTGCGATACCTGGGTCATTTTCCTTATTTATTTTCTTAATGTATATTTAAAAATAATGGCTTCAGGGTGACAACGCGGCAGTGGCAGGATGAGCGGTTTTTGTGTTCCGAGAACAGTGCTCCATTCTCGTGCCTTCTTTCTGGGAGTTTTGATGACTCCCCGTTTCCCTCTCCCTGGTGTGTCTGGTTTGAGGCACAGCCCACACCCCCTCAGTCCTGCCTTCTGCTCCTATCCCAGGCTCCAGCCAGGGCCACCACTCACTCTGTCCCAGTTTGATTTCCTCATCCTACACCCATTGGCCTGGCTGCCCCTCCTCCCTCCCTCTGGGCCCTGCTGCCATAGGAACAGACGATTTTGATTCCAGCTCCCAAGGGGGCCCCTGGGAGGGAGCAAAGGTGTCTGTTGCCTGCCAGAACCTGGGCCTCCCAGTTCCCCTCGCCCTGGCTCTTTGGCTCCGGGCCAGCCTAGTATGTACAGTACAGGAGAGCAGGGAAAAGCAGGTGCCAAGAACTGCAAGGGCGGGCAGACGCGAGTTCCGAAAAGGGAGCCAGGCAGGCCCAGGTGTGGGGGACGGAGGGCGGGGACCCCTTCCTCCTAAATCCTCTCTCCAGGAATCTCTGGCTTTAGGACAGGACGGCTGTCGCGAGGTTTTGTCTGGGGGGGGCGGGAGGGAGGCGCCCAGGGTGAGTGCATGTCCTGGGCCAGCAGCCAAGAGAACACGATGTTCCCAAGTGCGCTGGCCGCCGCCCTCTGGGACTGGCCGCCTCCCAAACCTCTGCCTCGCCAGCTCCTCCAGGCTCCCTGCCCCACATTCCCCGGCGCCTCGCCCCGCCCCGGCCTCCGCCTTGACGTCACCGCCCCGCCCCGCCCCATTGACGGCAGCGGGCCGGTTACTGTGGGGACGGCGGCCTGGGAGCAGCTGGGTGCGCCGCAGACAGCGCGGGCCGCAGAGACCACCCTAACCCTGCTAGCAGGGAAGGGGGGTCGGGATGGGGCGAGCACAGGGGGCACCCCTACCAAGACACCAAAACGGGGGTGGGGGAGTCGCAGGACAGTTTCAAGTAGTCTTCTGTTTACTGTTTTCCAGTTTCAGTCCCCCTCCCTCCCCAGGTTATTTTATAACGCCCCTGTGTCCCAGCTTTTTTCCACAAGGACCTCCCTTTTGTCCCCACCTCCCTCGCCCCCGCCACGGGGGACACTATTGTTAAGGGCAGCTTAGGCCACGTGACCCGCACCCACAGCTGATGATGTCAGCAGCTGCGTGGGGGCCTCTCCCCTTGCTCCCCCCGCACATTTCCGGGGAGCCCTGAAAGGAGCCCCTCAACGCAGGCCTGGCGTTAGGGACCGGGATCAAGTCCCTGTTCTTCTAGGACGTGGCATTTCCGCGGGGTCTTCTCGGCCACCCTCCCCCCATCCTTCCGCATGCGTCCTACCTAGTTAAAAACGCAGTCATGTTTACTGGTCACCTGCCCGGTCCTCCTTGTCCTGGGGAACTGAGTGAATGAGGGAGATAGGGTCCCTGCCGGATTCTTGGCTTCTGCACTGTTTTTCAGGCTGTGGGGGAAGTGAAGGCCTTTCTACCCCCACCTATTATCTGCCCAGGGCCCCAGCTGGCCTGACCTCACTTTGCGCCCACTGTAGCCCCGGCTTCCTGGCCCCCCTCTCCGGGGGCAGCCCTAGCCTTGGTGGGGGCGGCGACATCCTCTGGGGCAGTCACTGGTGTGGCCGCCTGGAGCCCTTCTCTGACTGGCCGTGAAGCACCTGCCATTGTTTCCCCTGCCATTATCTGCCTCTTCCTACTTACTTTACCCACTCACCCCCCCCAACCACACGCGAACCCTCAGCCACCCTCCTCCCGGGATTTTAAGTGTCAGAGGAAGCGGACAGGAGTGGAGAGCTATAAGGGGCTTCTTTACCTCAGATGACAAGGCTGGGCCGGGCAACCCAGGAGGGGTCAACAAGCTGGGTTTGTCCGTCACCCCTCCTCTTAGGGGGTCGCCATCTCGTCCAATCTGGTCCAACTCCAGGGTCTGCACACCTTTCCCTGTCCTCCCACTCCCCAGCCCCTAGGCATCCTATTCTGTGAGGCTGGTCAGTTGAGGAACACCTGCTGAGCCCCCAAGTCCCCCCTCCCCCCGACGGGGACAGCTTACCTCCCTCCCTGCGCCGGGCACCCTGCGCCCTGGAGCCCCGCGCCAGCACCCAGGTCCACGTGCGCCCGTGTGTGTGACACAGCCCTGACCTCAGCGGGGGCCAGCGGCCAATCAGCCGGCCGGGGCGGGGCCTGCGGCTCCGCCGGCGGGAGGCCAATGAGGGGCAGCGCCTGGCATTATGCAACCCGCCTCCCCGCCCCGCGAGCTTGCACTCGGCAGCGGGCTGGAGCTGCAGCGGACCGGGCGGCTGGAGGGCGCTCGCCGGGCCAGGTAGGCATCTCCGCGCCCACCCTGGGGGGCCGGGCTCCGTGCCCAGAGCCGGACTGCCGCACTTGCAACAGGATGGGCCACTTTTCAGCCCGGACGCGTCGACGCCACACCAATAATCCACCTTCCTCGCCGCTGCTATCCATCTCACCTCCCACCTTCTGCTCCCCACCCCTCCAGGGACCTGGGTGCTCTTTGCAACCCAGCATCAGGCGTCCACACGCTTGAACCGCTCTGTCCCACTCCATCTCTCCTCCGCCGCCCCACAAAGCCGGCTTCCCAGCGCGCGTGCCCCCGTCTCTCTTCGTTATTCAGAGGTCTCTGGGCATACTCTGGCCCCAGGAACTGCCCCCCTTCAAGGCTTTGGGCGCTCACTCCTCTCACAGGCCCTGGCCCCACGCCGGCCGTGATGTCAGCCCGCTTCAGGCTGGAACATCCCGTTCCCGGCGCTAGTTCCTGCTGTTGGCCACAGCCTTCCCTTTTCTCCTGGTGCTTCGAAAACGTTCGCGGACGGAGGGCGGGGGGGTGTGGTTGGACCAGGAGCGGGGTTACAACTATCCGCTTGGTTGTGTGTTCCTTGCCCAAAAGCTCCGATGAGGGGGGATGGTGAGCCAGGAAAGTCAGGGAGGGACTGAGGAGAGGATTCCCCAGCCCTTGGCGACAGCAGGTGCCAGCTTCGACCCTGGTGGTCAGTAAGGAGACAAAGGCCAGGGAAAAGAAGGCTGTGGCGTCTGCAGGGTGACTGCGCTCGGGCGATGGCCCGGCTTGGGAGGGCAGTGGCGGTTTTGTATCGTCCTGGCCAGGCCCTGGAGCCCCGAGGGGCTACCCTTCTTTCTACGCCATCCGACCGTCCAGAAACTGTGGATAGGTGAGGGGGTGGCCACCTGGCCGCGCCCGCCCGTGGGGGAGAGGTCGATCCCCCCACTTCCGCTGGGGAATGGGGGAGGGGGCGCCCCTCCCGCCGGCCTGTGGTCCCTCCAGCAACCGCTGAGCTCAGTGGCTGACGTCGGTTTCCCTGGCGACCGCGGCGGCGGCGGCGGAAGCGCGTGGTGGGGCCGCGCACGTCGGCGCGCATGTGCGGCGGGGGTGGCGCCGCCCCCGGATAAAATTAGCCCGGAAGCCTAAATATAGGTGGCGATCGGCTCACCCTCTGCTCTGTGGCCTTAGGGTCCCAGGCCCGTCCGTGTTTGAAAGCGGAGGAGCTTGTGGGAATTTGGGCATGGGAAGTGCCCAGGCTTTGGCCCGACCCCAGCGTCCTAGTCGGTCGCTCAGGCAGCACCTACACATGCCACGCTGGCAAAGAGGACGCTCGGGAGGTGCGAGAGAGCCCCCTTCCCGCTTGCTGCACCCTTAGGGCGACAGGAAACAGATCTTACCTCGGCTGTCTATTGGAAGGCTCCGGGTCTGGGTAGCAGGAACTATGAGAGCGGGAAGGGGGGGGGGGGTCCAGAGAAGCCAGCAGGTGCTGTCGGTTAACTTTCCAGCTTTCCCTGAAGCTCTCTTTTCCTGGTCTGCCTCTCCAGGTTCTAGCTGTGATCGAACTTCTCAACTCTCTGAAACCTAGGTTTCCCACCTCATTCCCCTAGTCAGGCCTCCCGGGCCCCCTGGTGCATCCGTGGTGGCCTCTTCGCCTGTTTTGTTCTCCTCTCCCCCTCATGGCCCAGACATGAGTGGCCCCCTGGAAGGGGCTGATGGGGGTGGGGATCCCAGACCGGGGGAGTCCTTCCATGCGGGAGGGGTCCCAGCCCCAGGGCCTCCTCAGCACCGGCCTTGCCCGGGCCCCAGCCTGGCCGACGACACTGATGCCAACAGCAATGGCTCAAGTGGCAACGAGTCCAACGGGCCTGAATCCCGGGGTGCCTCTCAGCGAAGTTCACACAGCTCTTCCTCCGGCAATGGCAAGGACTCAGCCCTGCTGGAGACCACGGAGAGCAGCAAGAGGTCTGTGTGTGCACATGTGCTATGTGTGTGTGTGTGCTGGTTTGGTCTGGGGATGGAGTGGCAAGTAGGCCCCATCCCGCTGCGCCTCATCTTGAGTCCATTGCTTTTCCCTTAGCACAAACTCTCAGAGCCCCTCCCCGCCCAGCAGCTCCATCGCTTACAGCCTCCTGAGCGCCAGCTCAGAGCAGGACAACCCATCTACCAGTGGCTGCAGGTAACATGGGTCTGGGAGGTCTGGGAGGGGTTGTGGTTGGGGGAAGCTTCTGGGCTCTTCCTGGATCACACCTCTGGGGCCTCACGTCTCTCCCCTCTCCTTCCTGGTGGGGTCTGCAGCAGTGAGCAGTCAGCGCGGGCGAGGACCCAGAAGGAACTCATGACTGCACTGCGGGAGCTCAAGCTCCGGCTGCCGCCAGAGCGCCGGGGCAAAGGCCGCTCTGGCACGCTGGCCACGCTGCAGTATGCGCTGGCTTGCGTGAAGCAGGTGCAGGGTGAGCACTGCTTCCCTCCTAGGGAAGGAATGACCCTGGGGTCCTCCCTACACCCTGGGCCTGCTAGAGGAAGGCAGCATGAGTTTAACCAAGTGGCCGGCGCTCTTCCCACAGCCAACCAGGAATACTACCAGCAGTGGAGCCTGGAGGAAGGGGAGCCCTGTGCCATGGACATGTCCACTTACACCTTGGAGGAGCTGGAGCACATCACGTCAGAGTACACACTTCGTAACCAGGTCAGCGGTTGCCCGTGGCACCCCACCCTGCCCCTGACATGCCCCCAGCCCTCCGCAGCTCCTGAATCTGCTCTTGCTCCTCCATCCCTCGCCAGGACACCTTCTCGGTGGCAGTCTCCTTCCTGACAGGCCGGATCGTCTACATCTCAGAGCAGGCAGCTATCCTGCTGCGCTGCAAGCGGGATGTGTTCCGAGGCGCCCGCTTCTCTGAGCTCCTGGCTCCGCAGGATGTGGGTGTCTTCTATGGCTCCACTGCCCCATCCCGCCTGCCCACGTGGGGCGCTGGGGCCTCAGCAGGTGAGTTGCTTAAGGGCTTGGAAGACAGAGAGGCCTGAGTGGTTCTCTGCAGCTCTTGCTGGATGAGGGTTTGGTGGACTCAAGCTCAGTGCCCGCCTTGTCTGTCTCAGGTTCACGCCTCAAGGACTTCACCCAAGAGAAGTCTGTCTTTTGCCGCATCAGGTAGATAGGGGTAGGGAAAGTGGGAGCAGGCCTCCCCCTCTGACCCACTTTCTCTGACTTCTCTGCCATGTGGGCCATAATGTTGAAGAGGGCAAGGAAGCCCCATGTTGAAAGGCCATCTAATGCCACACTCTGTTCCCCTTGTTAGAGGAGGCCCTGACCGGGACCCAGGACCTCGGTACCAGCCATTCCGTCTAACTCCCTACGTGACCAAGATCCGGGTGTCTGATGGGGCCCCCGCCCAGCCGTGCTGCCTGCTCATCGCAGAGCGTATCCACTCGGGTTATGAAGGTGGGCAGACCTGGCGGGGGGGTGGGAGGCAAGGAGGCAGCACCTTGGGATTTTGGAGTGAATATAGCTGTTACAGGGGTGAGGGCTGGAGCCTGGTGTAGAGATCAAGTTTCCAATTGGGCTGGGGGCAGGAAGAGGGAGGCAAAGAAGAATGTCGTAGTTGCTTTTAGTGTAGATGCTGTTCCATGGTATGTAACATGGCCCAGGCTGTCTCTGGGGAGGAGTGCTGTCCACCAGCCAGCCAGCCTGGGCCCAGACAAAATGGTCGGCTGGGGAGCTGAGTCTTTCCGGGTGAAACCCACCCATGCCCACGCCTGCTGTGCCTCAGCTCCCCGGATCCCTCCGGATAAGAGGATCTTTACCACACGCCACACACCCAGCTGCCTCTTCCAGGACGTGGACGAGAGGTGCGATGGGGCCCTGAGGGAAGCCGGGGAGCTGGGCCCAAGGCCAGGGGCCTTCTGATACTTTTTCTTATCCAGGGCTGCTCCGCTGCTGGGCTACCTGCCCCAAGACCTGCTCGGCGCCCCAGTCCTCCTGTTCCTACACCCAGAGGACCGGCCCCTCATGCTGGCCATCCACAAGAAGAGTGAGTCTTCTCTCACCTTTCTTTCCCTTCCCAGCCGGCCCTGGAGCGCTCACTGCCCTCACAGAGGCCTGTCTGGAGGCTGTAGTTGTATGGGTCTCCAGTGGTGGCTGCCCTGCTCCTCTCCTCTCCCTCCTGCTGATGCCCCCCTCTGTTCTTTTCTCATGCCCATCAGTCCTACAGCTGGCAGGCCAGCCCTTTGACCACTCCCCTATCCGCTTCTGTGCCCGTAATGGGGAGTATGTCACCATGGACACCAGCTGGGCCGGCTTCGTTCACCCCTGGAGCCGTAAGGTGGCCTTTGTATTGGGTCGCCATAAAGTACGCACGTAAGTGGGCTGAGCCAGCACTGGGTGGGGGGTGGAGCTGGGTAGGGAGGGTTCTGGGGTTGGGGTAAGGGGCTGTGGGGAAGGATAGGACAAGACTCAACATGCCGCCCCACACCACAGGGCACCCCTGAACGAGGATGTGTTCACACCCCCGGCCCCCAACCCAGCTCTGTCTTTGGACTCTGATATCCACGAGCTGTCTGAGCAGATCCACCGGTTGCTGCTGCAGGTGAGAGTGAGGTGAAGGGAGCAGGACTTGGGAGGTGAAGATGGGGTGGGAAGCCTGCTGCAGATGACTGACCTGTCCTTTTACCTGCCACAGCCCGTGCATAGCTCTAGCCCCACGGGGATCTGTGGCCTTGGCCCCTTGACGTCCCCAGGCCCTCTCCACAGCCCTGGCTCCTCCAGTGACAGCAACGGGGGTGATGCAGAGGGGCCTGGCCCTCCGGTTCCAGTGAGTGCTCCTCTGCCCCTACTGCCCTCGAGTTACCCTTTTGCATGCCAGGATCTGGCCTCAGTGCCACGGCTTTGTCTTGGGCACCCCTTCCTTGTTCTGGCCAGGCCTCCAGGGCTTTGCTGCCTTTGCAGGTGACCTTCCAGCAGATCTGTAAGGACGTGCATCTGGTGAAGCACCAGGGACAGCAGCTTTTCATTGAGTCCCGGGCCCGGCCCCCGCCTCGTCCCCGCCTCCCTGGTGAGTTGCTGAGGACCTGGGGGTAGGGGTGAGTGGCGAATGAGACCCGAGCATCTCCTGACCATCACCTCTGACCCATTGACGTGTGTCTTCTCCCAGCCACAGGCACATTCAAGGCCAAGGCCCTTGGCAGCCAATCCCCAGACCCGGAGCTGGAGGTGGGCCCTGCTCCAGTCCAGGCCCCACTAGCCTTCGTGCCTGAGGAAGCTGAGCGGAAGGAGGCCTCCACTTGCTCCTACCAACAGATCAACTGCCTGGACAGCATCCTCAGGTGAGGCTCGCCTACACCCTTCCCACCTTGGGCCTGGTCCCTGCTCCACCTCACATCCTGCCTTTACTGCCACCTGCTACACCGGCCACCAGGTACCTGGAGAGCTGCAACATCCCCAGCACAACCAAGCGCAAGTGTGCCTCCTCTTCCTCCTGTACTGCCTCATCGGCCTCCGATGATGACAAGCAGAGGACAGGGACGGGTCCAGTCCCCACAGGAGCCAAGAAAGGTGAACACCTAGCCTGCTGACCCCTGTACCTCTAGGGCCCTGCCTCGCTGTGCCTTGTCCTTGTCCACCTCATTCCCTTCCTCCACCCAGGCCCCTTCACCTCCTGATTTCCATCCCTCTCCCCCAAGATCCCTTGCCTGACCAACCCTCCCCACCCCCAGCAGGGGTGGTAACTGGTGCCATCTCTCTGCGCAGATCCTGCAGCGGCGGCAGGCGTGCTCTCTGGGGAGGGGGCGACTCCGCGGAAGGAGCCCGTGGTGGGAGGCAGCCTGAACCCGCTCACGCTGGCCAATAAGGCAGAGAGCGTGGCGTCCGTCACCAGTCAGTGTAGCTTCAGCTCCACCATCGTCCATGTGGGAGACAAGAAGCCCCCGGAGTCGGGTACGGGCGTGGAGCTAGGGGGCAGTGCCAGCGTCCTCCTTCCTGCCTCTCCCCTCCCCCGTAGGCCTTCATTGAGGCCTCCCCTTGGCCTGCAGCCACCACTGCTTGCCCTTGTCCCCTGCCAGCCTGTGTGCTTTGGCCTGTCCTACTCCCCTGCTTGTGTTCTTCCCGTCAGGGCAAAAAAGTCTGGCGTGGGAGGGGCTGACCCCAGGGGGAATGAGGCGAGGAACTTACTGAAGAATACTGCCCTACCCTGCCACCAAGGGTCTGTGGGTCTTGACATTGAAAAATGTATTAAGGGGCAGGCACGGTGTGGGCGGCAGCTGCTAGAGAATACTGGGAATGCTCGGGCACCCTGGGACAGCGTTGCGTGACCAGCCCTTGGTAGGGAGGTGACCTAGGTCTGGGCTGTGCAGCCAAGAGCAGGGCTTGGCTATGCTGTGGAACTGCAAACATGTGTGCATGTGAACTTGGTGACCCCTGAGGTGATCCTACTGACCTTTTCTTCCCCGTCTCACCTTCTTCAGATATCATCATGGAGGATCTGCCTGGCCTAGCCCCGGGCCCAGCCCCTAGTCCAGCCCCCAGCCCCACAGTAGCCCCTGACCCAGCTCCAGACGCCTACCGCCCTGTGGGCTTGACCAAGGCCGTGCTGTCCCTGCACACACAGAAGGAAGAGCAAGCCTTTCTCAGTCGCTTCCGGGACCTTGGGCACCTGCGCAGACTCGATGGCTCTTCCACAACTCCTTCAGCCCCAGGCGAGAGAGGTAGCCACCAGTACTTTCCGGAGCCTGCCTCAGCCTGGTTCAGGACCACCCTGCCCCCGGGTGGGGGCATATAGAGAAAGTTGGTGCTGCTTCCGCTGGCAGGGCCCTGCTCGAGGAAAGGTCCCCTTCTGCCACTGGCTTCTGCCCACCAGGCTGGGGTTCTGGGCTACAGCCTGAGGCAGGCAGTGTGGGGGTGTGGCACCAAGACAGGCAGGCAGAGGGCTGTGCTCCAGGTAAGCTGCCTTGGGTCCAGTTCCATGTCAGATTGTTCCCCAAAGCACCCCCCACCCCCAACCCATGCCCTGTGTTCTGGGTGAGCAGCTCTCCTCGGGGTCTTTGCCCAGCCTCTATCTGGTCACAGAATCAGGACTGTGGGGTTGGCAGGGGTACTAACCACAGACTGAAGCCCTTGCTAATCCTAGTCTCTCCTCTGTAGGCTGCCATCATGGCCCTGCGCCCCCTGGCCGCCGCCACCACTGCCGGTCTAAAGCCAAGCGCTCGCGTCACCACCAGACTGCCCGAGCTGAAGCCCCTTGCTACGTTCCCCACCCCTCACCTGTGCCCCCCTCTGCCACCTGGCCCCCACCACAAGCCACCACCCCCTTCCCTGCAGTGGTCCAGCCCTATGCTCTCCCTATGTTCTCCCCTCGGGGAAGTCCCCAGGCTCTGACCCCAGCTTCCACATCTGTACCCCCTGCCACCTTCCCTGCCCCCCTGGTGACCCCTATGGTAGCCTTAGTCCTTCCAAACTATCTGTTCCCTCCTCAGTCCAGCTATCCCTACGGGGTACCCCAGAGCCCAGCAGAGGGGCCTCCCACCCCTGCCTCCCACTCCCCCTCACCATCCCTGCCTCCTCTGCCTCCCAGTCCACCACCACACCCAGACTCCCCGCTGTTCCAGTCACGATGCAGCTCCCCACTCCAGCTGAACCTGCTGCAGCTGGAGGAGCCCCCCCGTGCTGAGGGGGCTGCTGTGGCAGGGGGTCCTGGGAGCAGTGCTGGACCCCCACCTCCCAGCGAGGAGGCAGCTGAGCCAGAGGCCAGAATGGTGAGTGCCAGTTCCCCCAATACCCTACAAGCCTTGCATCTGGCCCTCAGCACCTATAGGCCTCCTGCCTTAAGGGTCTCCTGGGCTGATGTGTCTGTCCCCTGGTGTGGACGTTACAGGATGGGAGACTGGCCTGGCCCCACGATCACAGAACAGAAGCAGTGACAGTGGAGGCAGCAGACGGGAAAGCCAGTACTGAACCCCTCATGACTGCTGCTCTCCTGCTGTCCTCTACAGGTGGAGGTGACTGAGTCCTCCAATCAGGACGCACTTTCAGGCTCCAGCGACCTGCTGGAGCTGCTGCTGCAGGAGGACTCACGCTCGGGTACCGGCTCTGCGGCCTCCGGCTCCCTGGGCTCTGGCCTAGGCTCTGGGTCCGGCTCGGGCTCCCATGAGGGGGGCAGCACCTCGGCCAGCATCACCCGTGAGTCCTCCCTGGGCAGGTGGGATGACAACTTGATGGGGGTGGAGAGAGATCATATTTGGCTGAGCTTCCTAAGGTCCACAAGCTTGGAGCCAAGCCTAGTGAAGCCCTGGCGGTAGCAGTGCCAGGCAGCCTAACTCCAGTGGTTCCCCATTCCCTCTTGGCTCCAGGCAGCAGTCAGAGCAGCCACACAAGCAAGTACTTTGGCAGTGTCGAGTCTTCGGAGGCCGAGGCCGGGGCTGCACGGGCCGGGGCTGAGCCTGGGGAGCAGGTCATTAAGTACGTACTCCAGGATCCCATTTGGCTGCTCATGGCCAATGCTGACCAGCGTGTCATGATGACCTACCAGGTGCCCTCCAGGTAAGGCAAGTCAGGGGCCTCTCCCACCTCCCGGGCAGAGATGGAAGGGAAGCCAGTGCCCCCTCCCCTGCTCAGCCCTCGGCTAGCTTCCCACCCAGCCCCTTGGAGCCCCTTCAGTGGTTGCCCAGACTAAGAGCAGGTTGCCTGGGTCTGAAAGCCGGATTGCAGGTGGGGAGGCAGGTAGAGGGAGGCCCCCAGCCTTGGAGGCCTGGCCTCCCCCAGATCCCAGCCTCTGCCCCTGACCCTTTCCTTGGCCAGGGACATGGCATCTGTGCTGAAGCTGGACCGGGAGCGGCTGCGGGCCATGCAGAAGCAGCAGCCTCGGTTCTCTGAGGAGCAGCGGCGGGAACTAGGGGCTGTGCACTCCTGGGTCCGGAAGGGCCAGCTGCCTCGGGCCCTCGATGTGATGGTGAGGGAAGGCTGAGCAGGCGGGCTGGCCGTGCAGGGGTTAGGAGGGTGGGCTGAGCTCAAGTTCAAGGGAGCTAGGCTATGGGCTGGCTCGAAGTTTCTGAAGGATGGTAACTCCACGAAGTTTGCTGCTGGGTTGTGTAGAAGGGAAACTCAGCAAATTCTGGGGAGTACCATGGGCCTGGAGAATATGAGAAGCTGGACTGGCATTTGGCAGTGAGGAGTCTTCCTCCTGACTCCCCATCCCTGGTTCTTCCTCCAAGGCCTGCGTGGACTGTGGGAGCAGCACCCAAGACCCTGGTCACCCTGAAGACCCTCTCTACTCGGAGCTGGACGGACTGGGGCTGGAGCCCATGGAGGAGGGTGGAGGCGAGGGGGGTGGTGGCGGTGGTGGGGCTGGGGGTGATGGTAGTGGTGAGGGGGAGGGTGGCGAGGAGGCCCAGGCCCAGGTGGAGGTCAAGGTCTCAAGCTCCCAGGACCAGGATGCAGCCATGGAGGAGGAGGAGCAAGGTGGGAGCTCATCTGGTCCAGCCTTACATGCTGAGGAGGAGGAGGATGGCACCAGCTAGACTCCAAAGGGGGGCCAAACCTGGGCTTTCTCTAGAGACTTTGCTCTGCGTCCTCATCTCAGAACGCCAAGGTGGCCAGACCAACTCATAGGAAATTGCCCCAGCTCCTCCCGCCGGCAGGGGGCTGGACCCCCATCACCAGCCCAGGAACCAGGGGCTATCTGCCCAGGCCAGCCCCGAGGGGTGGCATCTGACCCCCACTTCCCCACCTGGTGAGGAGCGCCTCGCTGCCCTGGCCAAGGTTGCTGACAAGCTGCTCGAAGTGGTCCCTGGGGAGCCCAGTGGGGCCCGGGTCTCAGCCCCGAGGGTCGAGACTATACTTATTTATTGGGGGAGATGGCTCGCTCTCCCACCTCCTCCCCACAGTGGGCCTAGGAGAGAAGACTGAGGGCCAAGCAGGACCCAGGGTTCAAGCCCTTAGCTGCTCCAGGGTGGGGGGGGGGTTGGTGGACCATGGCGTCCCTGGTGCTGCCCCTCAGATGGGACCCAGGCGTTCTCAGCTGTACCCTCTACCAATGGCATTTGTGTTTTTGATATTGTGTCTGTTATTATTATTTTTTAAATATAAAACGGAAAAAACAAACGCCACTATCAGGACTTTGTGGAATGAAGTTTGGAAAGGGGTGGTGTGGTGAGGATGGCTGGGTTCTCCAGTCTCCACTGAAACCTGGTGGCTTGCAGGCTCTAGGCCACCACACGGGGAGACCCCTGGGACCAGGAGTTGCAAACCCGCTGAGGTCGGACGGTCCCCCAGTGGAGCGGAGGGAGAACGCAGACCTGCAGCTGAGACCCCGGAGAAGAAGGAAACACTCAATCCTCTGGGCTTGTTGCTGCCCGCAAACAGCTGATGATTCTTGAGATGGATACCTTCCCATGTCGGCGCCGTGGCTTAGCTGGTTAAAGCGCCTGTCTAGTAAACAGGAGATCCTGGGTTCGAATCCCAGCGGTGCCTGAGCTACCCGGGTATGGTATCTTATTGCCGAGCGCCAATCGGCCCCTCTGTCATCATGAGCCTTCACAGTTTTCCCCTGCAATTTTAGTATACCTCTGCAAGCGAAAATTCTCCCCGTCATCCGCCCGCAAGGTCGCGGGACCCCGCCGCACTAGGTTTTGTTTGGAACCGCCCGGTGGCTCGGGGAACGAGAGGGAGACGCGGACGGCGTCAGCCCCGCATCCCGGAGGCCGGCACGGCCATGAGGGCACGGCCGCAGCTGCGCACGCGCACGGGCGCCGCTGGGCGGGGTCGCCGCAGGCCGGCGTCTTGATAGGCAGCTATAGCAGCGCAATGCAGGGCCTTCCTGCGGCTGTGATGGCCGAGTGGTTAAGGCGTTGGACTCGAAATCCAATGGGGTCTCCCCGCGCAGGTTCGAATCCTGCTCACAGCGGTAATAGTTTTGGTAATGGTAAGTCCTATCTGTTCGGCAATAGGAAGTCTTTTATTTTCCAACCCTTTCCGGCTGTGGAGACGACTCTCCCACGCGTTTATTTCAAAAATTCGCAAGAAGCAGCCCGCGAGCGCCCTCTCGCGAGCCTTCAGACCCCTGCTGGTCTGCCAAAAAAAAAAAAAAAAAAAAAAAAAGGCGGGGGTATTGTGTTACAGCTGGTTTCAATTCGTGTCTCCGTCAGAGGCCGATGGTCCCGGTTTTCCTCAGCATTCCTACTACGTTTTGCTGACGTTCTCCTCTGCGACTCTCACTTCAAAGCGTGCATCTCCTTTATATCTGTTCTCAGTTTCTCGCATTGAGGCTGTGCCCACATCCTTGTCGCTTTTACTTTTTACCGATAGCCACTTACCCCTCACCTACTACATTTCCCAGACCCTCTGGCCCAGGTTGCTTTCTTTTTCCCTCCATTACCCGATTTCCCTTCTCCTTCTCCAAGCTGAAGACAAGAGGCACAACGTGGGCCAATGGCACCGCTCCGCCTACGCCCTACCCACACGGATTGCTGTGTGAACAAGCCACCCCTTGCGCCAGGCGGTGAGGCAGCCGGAGAGAGAGGTCACAGGGCTTGAACCTGCAGACTCCCCTTGCCTGGCTTCCAGAACTGCAAACTGAATCCACGCCTATGCTTTATACATTAGTCTGTTCAGTTACAGCCCCTGAAAATGGCCTGTCCTCCCTATCACTCCCGTTCGTGGCTCTGCTCTGCAGCAGGCCGAAAAAATTCCAGGACTGTCTGCCCATCTTCCCTGGTCCAAGTCACCTTGCTGAGTGTGTTGGCACTCGTCACCTCTCAAAAGGAGCTCTTCTGAGGCGTCCCTGGAGTTTAAGAAGACGGATCTTCTCCACTACCATTCTCTACCTGGAAAATGGGCTTTCCGAGCTGTGCCTGCCCTACAAGAACATACTGGGTGGAGCACAGTGGCTGCTGGGCAGTAGCTGCCGCAGGAGGGAGAGGGTGATGTCATTGTGTGTGTGGTGGTGGTGGTGAGGGGGCTTGCCCATTTCAGTGGGATTGCCCACTGCTTTCACATTGAAGCGGGGAGAGAGTTGGCCCTGTGGCCTACACTAATCCCATTCCTCATACCCCCACCCCAAGATCCAGCCAGGGAACTCCATTTTGCCCAGGACCCCTGGGGGGCTTGCAGGAAGCCAAGCTGCACTTTGAAGCTCAGAAGAGGGAGGAGTTCGGCCTCAGGGCCTAGGCCTTGGGGGGTGTGACGTCTCGGAAGTGGGAAGCGGGGAGTGGGGGAGTGGGGTAGGGGGGGTGGACTGTGCCTGCCCAGTTTTTCCCTTGCCTCCCCAAGAGGCCTGAGGAGAGTGTATCAGCTCCTCTTCTCCTAGTTCTCAATGTGACCACCCCCTAAGAAGAAGCTGCAGGTTCAGGCCCCAGTATGTACCATCAGGTCTCCAAGATCCTAGAGACACAGAAATGTGAACCCTGTCCTGGAAGTCACAGGCACATGGCCACGGGGCAGCCAGTAAGAGGAATGAGCTGGAGAAAGTCCCCCCTCCTGTCCAGGGCCCCGAAGCCCTATGTAACCTGGAAGGCAGGCATTTTGGAAGGAAAGAATGCAAAATGAGCTACAGGTAACACGTATTCGTAATGGACACCTTTCAAAAGCTGACCAGTGTCTGAGCAGAACAATCTGTGGTTGTATGGGCCGTGTGAGCCTGTGTATTACTATGGCTGAGATTGGTGGACATTTTCAGTCTTGCTTCTCTCTGTCCACTCAGAGACTTACAGTGCCCAGGGCCACTGCTGCGTGGCCATCCCCTGTGCCCCCTGGCCTGTACAGGATGAAAACTGGTGAGTAGGCAGAGGTTATGGGAACATTCCTGGGCCAGGTAGCCAGGCCAACTTACAAGTAAAAGTGATGAGGATTTTAATCTGAGTCTCTCTAATTCACTTTCCCCACCCCAGATGCGCAGCACCACCAGCCCTGGGGAGGGAGGAGAGTGACCGGCAGATAGCCACAGCCGGGAGCCTGAGCTCTCCCATGGGCCGGCGGTTGAAACAGCTGGTGGTCTTGGGAACACGGGGCCAGGCCCTTCTCAGGGGTCTGTATAGGGGAAAGTTCCAGAACGGCCTGAGGAGCCTAATGGATTGGCCTCTGCATTTGGACTTCTTTCTCTCTCTCTTTTTAAATACATATTTATTTATTTTTCTTGAAAAGGCAGATATACAGAGAGGAGAAAAAGAGAGAAAGATCCTCTATCTGCTGGGTTATTCCCCGAGTGGTTCCAATGACTGAAGCCGATCCGATCCGAAGCCAGGAGCCAGGAAACTCCTCCAGGTCTCCCATATGGTTACAGGGTTCCAAAGCCTTGGGCCATGCTCAACTGCTCTTCCAGGCCACAAGCAGGGAGCTGGATAGGAAGCGGGGCAGCTGGGACATGAATTGGTGCCCACATTGGATCCTGGAGTATGCAAGGTGAGGATTTTAGCCACTAGGCTACAGTGCCGGGCCCTTTCCTTACTTAAAATATTTATTTATTTATTTTTTGTTACAAAGGCAGATTTACAGAGAGAAGGATTAACAGAGAGAGCTCCCATTGCTGATTCACACCTCAAGTGGCCAACAGGAGCCAGAAGCCTCTCCTGGGTCTTTTATGTGGGTGCAGGGCCCCAAGGTTCTGGCCATTCTCTACTGGTTCACCAAGTCACAAGTGGGAAAGAGGAGCAGCTAGGACACGAGCCGAGCCGGACCCCATGTCACGTGTTCTTTCTCCTCCATTAACTTGTAGCTCTCCCTCCCTCAGTGAGGGAGCTGGATCCAGTGACCACAGCTGGAGAGCTGGCCTCATCTCATCCATCCCACCCAGGCGCCTCCAGATCTGGGAGACAAAGGGAGAGACCTTCCCCTGCTGCTGAGGGCCGTCTCTCCACTTGGCACTGCCTTCCCTGCCCCCTGTGCCATCCTGACCGCAGGCCTTGGTTATTCCCCTGTGCATGCGTGCGTCCGCTTGTGCTGCCTACACACCTGGCTACTGCATAGCTTTCTGCCCTCCCTCCACCTGCATCCTCTCCCCACCCGCCCCACCTCGGGGACCTGCTTAGTGCACAGCCCAGATGCGCCTGTTCTTGGGGCGCCTGAGATATCCAAGATGTTGAACTTGATGTTTGCTTCTCTGCCTTTGCCGTGGTTACCCTCCCAGCCAGCCAGCTTTGATCCAGCTGAGTGCTCGTTTGAAAACACGCATTTGTTTATTTGGCCACAGAATCATTTTTAACCTTACGGATAATGATGGAATATCTTTGTGATGTTTTTTGATGCCAGTACACTCTGTGGAATGATGAAAGCAAGCCTGCGTGTCCTCATCACATTATCTGGTGTGTGTGTGTGTGTGTGTGTGTAGAAAACTGAAAATCTTTCCTTTTAGCCATTTTGAAATACATAACAGTGTTCGCTGTGCTGTTCCATAGCTCACTCAACATCTTCCTTATAGACTCGCTCTCGGTGTTCAAAATTCCTTGACACCCTGATTGTCTGCGCTCTCTGGCTGTTGTAGATCCCTTTGCTAAATCCTTCTCCTCTACTGTCCCAGGGTAGTGTTGCCCAGCCTGTGTGAAACCTGCACCAAGCTGTCCAGGGGGCTCACAGCTAAGGGAGAGTTCCTGACCTCCCCACCACGGGTACACACACACACACCCCCTGCTTCCTAAGCTAAGCGCCCCCATCCTGGCTCTCCTGCAACGCTCTTCTCTCCTGTCAGCCTGTGCCAGCTCTCCAAAGGAATCCGCTTGCTTCTCCAGATGGCAGCTAACGGGATCTTTACAAGCTAAGAGAAGAAAAAACTTTCTGGAGGAGGAACCCTCCCTTAGTCTGCAGTTGTCCTTAGACCAAAATAACAGCAGCGATAACTACACAACCAACCCCAGTCCCTCAGAGCAGCCTAGGACCAGGTGACCATTCCCAGCTGACTCCAATCCCTAGCCCAGTTACTCTCCACCGTCTCCATCCCAGGGTCGCTAGCTTCCTTCTCTACCCCGGGGCCTTTGCACTTGCTGTTCCTGATGACTCAGGTTAAATCACACAACAGCTTCAGGCAATCTCAGCTCATAGAGGTTTGGCTTTCCATGGCACCTAGGGATGAAGGTGGGGGAAGGGTGTATTCTCTCCCTGAAGCCTGTAAGCGTCTGAAATTATCTTAAGTCAGTTTCTGCTTTCTTGGTTACTGTTTCAGTTCTCGGTATATGAAGGCCAAGTGAATAAATCACACAACAGCTTCCCACATTCATAAAGACGCTCAGATAACCTTTCCTTCTAACCGGGTGAGGAGGGGACACTGTCGCCGGCTTCCAGTGGCCAGAGTCGGTGCCAGGCAGGTTGCAGTCCGGCAGTCTCCAGGGCTAGGAGGCCGCATATCGCGCCCAGGGCGGAGGAGGAACCCTCCTCCGGGGGTGGAAGGAAGCAAGAAACCAGCACAGCCAGTCTCCGGGAGCTGGCCGCACGGCCCCACCCACAAGCGGCCGCGGCAGGTGGCCGCGCGTCCGCCTGGGCGCCCGCAGGCCCGACGCGTGCGGGATCAAAGCAGCGGGAAGGGGCGGGACGCAGAGGTGTTGGGGATCTGGAGGTGTGAGAGCGAGCTTCCCAGGGGATGCTGGAGCGTGGGAGCGAACAGACCCCCGGAGACCCGAGGGGGCGCAGGCGGACACGCAGACAGGGGCGCGAGGAGATCCAGAGTCAGGCAGGGGTGGGGACGACAGAGGGAGACCCAGCGAGGCGCAGCTCAGATGCGGGACAGGAGTGGAGACAGAGACGCGGAGAAGGGCGAGACCCACGCGGGCTTGGCACAAGGAAACTCAGCAAACCAGAGAGGAAGAGCCACGGCGGGACCAGCAGGGCGGAGGGTGTGGGGGGAGGGCGAGCTCTCCCCTCCCCCGCCGAGGGACCGGGGGACCCCCGGGGAGGGGATCCGAAGGCCGGGTCCTTTCTCAGGATCACGCCTGGAGAGGTGCGGGCCGGGGGGCGGAAGGAGGGGCGAGGAGGATGCAGGACCCCCGGGCTGGGAGGAGGGGGAGTGAGAGCATCACAGCCCGAATTATGGGTTTCGAACTAAACTTTGTCATCTAGTTAAAGGGTTCAACTTGTGGTTTGCTGGGAAAGGGAGGCTTAAAGAAAGATGCTTCTTAGAAAGTTGTTTAAAATTTTCTTGAGAGAAATGGAAAAAAGGTTAGCATGTGCATTGGCCGGGAATCGAACCCGGGCCTCCCGCGTGGCAGGCGAGAATTCTACCACTGAACCACCAATGCAAGCGGATGACAGGGCGTTTTCATTATCTCTTTCCAAGCTTGCACGCGGTTGAGTCGGAAATGACCAGACTGGAGGTGCGGACTACCAGCTCCGGCAAGCAACAGTCCCGATGGCTGAGGTGGGTGGGGCGAACGCCGAGCCATCCTTCCTCCCTCCCGGATCCGGCCACCGGGCCATAAAGCCACCCCATATGGCCGGGGGCGGCCCCACACCCGGGTGCGAACAGCCCTGGGCCCCAAGCCTCGCGTGCAGGTGAGAAAAACTCAGCCCGAACTCAGGTTCCCAAGGAGTGGGGGGTGGGGGAGGGAAGCGGGCGGCGGGAAGCTGCGGGGCCACACATCTGGGTTCCCATTTGGCTGAAGTAAGGGGAGGTGGCATGTGCTGGGGGCCCTGCTCCCAAATGGAAGCCCCCTCATTGAGGTCTGCTCTCCCCTTCTCAGGACTCCCTGCCCAGGGTGGAAGGTAGGGAATGGGTGGAGGGGCGTAGGAAGGGCTTGTTGGAAACCTCTCTCGGTTTCCCACCCACTCCTCTCTGTAACACCCTGCCTTGCCCTGCCCTCCTCTCTGGCGATCTCAATGCCATTTCTTGTGCCCCAGGGCACGGCCTCCCCCCCTCCCCGCAGCTTCTTCATTCTGCACAGGGTCATGCCCTGGGTGTGTGTTCCCCTACCCCCCTCTCGTGCCCCCTCCCGTCCCAGGCACACCTGTGTCCTGGGTCCCAGCAGCCACATCTCAGTCTCCTGGAGTGCCTCCTGCCTCACATCCTTCCAGTGGCTCCCTTTTCTGGACGCCTTCCCCTTCCTTTCCCACGACCCCCAGCCACCCCTTAAGGAGCTCCTTGTTGGAGGGGCCCTACTTCACTTTGTTTCTAGAACAGCTACTTTGTTGCACGTGGTCTTTTGGTTTGGTTTGGGTCCTGGCCAGTTTAGGTCAGTATAGCAAAAGGGCAGGTTGATGTTGGGGAGTGGGGAAGGACTGGTGAGGGAGCGTAGAATTGCCCACAAATGACTTGGGCAGAGTCCCTACTTGAATCAGGTGGACCCACCAAGGAATGGAGGAGGGAGAACTTGTCTGGAAGGTGCAGAAAATCCTGCTTGGGGTTTGGAGGGGTGCAGTGCTGTGGTTCTAGGGATAAAGTTGACTGTCACCCCCCCCCCGCCCCCACATACCTCCAGTCTATTCTACCCCCAATTACTGAAGCTCCTTCCCCCCCTCGCAGTTAACTCCGTCTCATTAGACAGCCTTATGGTCCCGTGAAACCAGACGGTGCCCCATTCGACCCTCGCTTCCCACACTCCGGGGCCAATTCCTTTCCCACCCCCTCCTCCTTTCACTCCTCGTCTTTCCGGGAGCCTCGTGCCGGGGGTCCTGGGGGAGGGGGCGCGGGAGTGGCCCTGGGCCCAAGGGGCGGGGTTGGGTTCTGTCCCCTCCTACCTGACCCCCGCCCCCCAGGGCTATAAGGGTCGACGCTGGCGGGGGCCGGGTCCACACTAGGGTCCGGAGGAGCAATGGTTACCCGGGACCGAGCTGAGAATCGAGAGGGTCCCAAGGTAAGAAGGTGGGGAGGAGAGCGGAGGGGGGGGGGGCAGCCGAGCGGTGGGGCTGTGCGCTGGGAACCAGGCCGGGCGGAAAGCGTAAGGAAGAGGCGTGGACCGAGGGTGGCGGACCTGTCCATCGCCCTCGGGTTCTTCCTCCGAGTCTTGCACGGTGTGGCCCACGCGCCTGGGCGCAAAGACGGTCCCCGAAGTTCTCCGTTGAGACGGGGAGGGGGCACAAGAGGGAGTCTTGGAGAGGGAGGAGGAGAGGCAGAGGGAGGAGCGGGATGAGGTGGCGGCGGCGGCGGAGGAGGATTCGGGGAGTGAGAGGGAAGCAGCTCCGGCTCACGAGGAGCGAGCGAATGGGGGCAGTCCTGGGCAGCCCCGGGGAGAAGCGGGGCGGTCCCCGCACCGCGGCCGTGCTGAGTCTAGGTCGGGCCGGCCCGCTCTCTCTGTCCCGCTGTCGCAGATGCTGAAGCCGCTGGTGGAGAAGCGGCGCCGGGACCGCATCAACCGCAGCCTGGAGGAGCTGAGGCTGTTGCTGCTGGAGCGCACGCGGGACCAGGTCAGTCTCCGCGCCAGCCCCGCACCGCCCCTCTGCCTCCCCTGCCACCCCAGGGCTTCCCAGGGGCGTGGGAACCGGGCTCCTGCTGCTTGGACGACACTCGCTCCGAGGCCTCCTGACCCGATCCCCGTTCTGGGAACTCCACCTTGGACACCGCTCCCCCAACCATTTCACTCTTAGGACCCGATTTTTTCTGCCCCATCCCTTGTCTAGAAGTGGCTCAGGGTCGGTCCCTTTGCACACATGGGTCTCTGGCATGTCCCCTTCCCCTCCCCCCAGCGTCCGCTCAACCGCCGGGTTTCCAACCCCAGTCCGCCTCCCACACGCCATGCCCTGGTCGGGTGCATCCCCTCGGGCTGGACAGTTTCGTCTCCGGGCGCGCGGGGCCCCTTCTCGGTCGTCTCCACCCCGCGCCCGCCCCCTCCCTTCTTCCCCCTGCCACTTCCCCCCTCTCTCCCCACCCCTGTGTGTCTGTGCGCCCACCCGTGCTGTCTGTAGAACCTCCGGAACCCGAAGCTGGAGAAGGCGGAGATCTTGGAGTTCGCCGTGGGCTACTTGAGGGAGCGCAGCCGGGTGGAGCCCCCGGGTACAGCGCGGGGGGTGGGGCGGCGCAGGCGGGCGGGGGAAGACGGGGCGGACCCGGCGGTGGATGGTGGGCTTGGGGGGGAGTGGCAGGCTCTGCTGCGAGGCGAGGTTACTAACACCCGCGCGTGTCTGTCTCTGTGTCTCTCATCTTCTCCCTCTGTGCGTCCATCCGGCTTGCTGTCTCCGCCTGTGCGCCTGTCCGGCCTCTGTACCTCTGCGCCCTGCCCCTTCTTTCCTCCCCACCTGCCGGGCCCCTGCCCTGCCCTGGCCGCCGCGGCTCCAGGGGTTCCCCGGTCCCCAGGCCAGGACGCCGAGGCGCTCGCCAGCTGTTATTTGTCCGGCTTCCGCGAGTGCCTGCTCCGCTTGGCGGCCTTCGCGCACGACGCCAGCCCGGCCGCCCGCGCCCAGCTCTTCTCCGCGCTGCACGGCTACCTGCGCCCCAAACCGCCCCGGCCCGAGCCGCCGCTAGACCCGAGGCCTCCGGCGCCGCGCCCACCGCTGGACCCCGCCGCACCGGCCTTCGGTCCCGCGCTGCACCAGCGCCCCGCGGCACACCAGGGCCCCCCTAGCCCGCGCTGCGCATGGTCCCCAGCCCTCCGCTCGCCCCGCGCCGGGGATTGCGGCGCGCCGGCACCCCTCACCGGACTGCTGCCGCCGCCGCCTCACAGACAAGACGGGGCGCCCAAGGCCCCGGCGCTCCCGCCGCCCGCTTTCTGGAGACCTTGGCCCTGAGCTTTGGCGGGGGTGGGGGCGGGAGGTGGGGGTGGGGGCTGGGGGTGAGGTTGAGACTCCGGCCCGAGGGCAGCAAGAGGGACCCCGGGCGTCCGGGCGGGGAGGTGTTGGGGAGGGCGGTGGGGCGCGCGGGCGCAGCGCGCGGGTGAGATGTGGTCTATATTAGAGTATCTATATAAATATATATTTTCCTGCTCCTGTCCCCTTTCCCTGCCCACCTCTTCCCCGCTCCCTTGGCGTCTAGGATTGTACCCGCTCTGTCCCCGACCCGGTCCCAGTCCCTTCCCGAGTCCTTAGTGCATGGAATAAAGTGGTTCTGAAATCCCGTGTGTCCCTGAGCCAGGGGCCTGCCTTTATCTCGGCGTCCATCCACGCCCACTGCCCCTTCCCTTCTGGCATCTACCCCCTCCTCTCCACCCCCAGTCCTGCTCTCCGCGGCCCAAACCTCCGGGCAGAC